TCCTCGACCGATCCGCTGGACTGTAATATTGTTAGCCAGCGGCTGATGATGATACTGAACTTTTACTGACCTGCTCGGTAAGTTCTCCGTGAGATCTAAACATAAGATCATCGCTGCGATTAAGAAGTCGTGAAGCGTAAGGGCCGAAAGCATGTATTTATCCTCGTATATCCGGCCACCAGGTCTGCTTTCCTCTTCATACTCAGCGTGTAGATCCAGAATTCTGAGAGCTGCATCTCTACACGTGGTTCGTGATCGATCATACAGAGCGTTATCCTTCTCCCGGTTGAGATACGGCCGATGTAAGACGCAAAGGCTTTTAAGGTACATCATCTCCAACATAAGACGATGCATGATGTCGTATGTTTGGTCCGTGAAACTGTACGTGCGTATTGGCCGTATTTGTAAAGAAGGGGGGACTTGTGCGTGGTACTGATGAATTTCCTCGTCTAGTTTGATGACCTCTTCATATGGAGGAGGGTGTATCGACAGTGCGAAGCGTATCACTCGGCGCAATAGTCGACATAACTTTGATTTGTAACTTAGGTACAAAGTAGAAGTAGGCTCCGTAGCTGGCCGTGACGGAGGTAGTGCCATAACGTTCTCATCAAAGTCAGAATCGAACAGATTACTCGGCGACTCAGTGTCACACTCATCATCACGAATGATTGGAGGCATGCCTAGCTGAAACGAGAAAAGGACATCGAACACTTCGATGAAGAAGAAAGCTCGTCTACGGAGTTCTCCTTCGAAAGGCGTAATGTTAGGGAGATACTTTGGATCTCTATGATATCCCATGCGCTGCGCGAGCCGGGCAGTGAGTCCAAATTTGGCCCATAAGCCAGAATTAATTTCCTTGGCCTTTTGTAGCTCCGAATAGCTATGTAAAAGGAGTGCTTCAATACAATACGGTTTGGCGGACAAGTAGTCTCCGGACACGAGACATTCAGTTGCTAAAGCTGTTAATCTATCGAGTAAGTTTGCCTCAGATTCATCAGCCTCGCCTTTCAAGCGAGTGATTGATGCAGCAACCCATAACATAGATGCAAGGCAACTTATCCACAGTAGGCTAGCGGAAGACGGATCATCCCAGAAGGCGTCATACTCTCTTTGAAATTTCGTAGTGTGGATGTACGGAGCTGTTATGAACTTGTGACGGAAGTAAACTAATATGAGTGCGTCTGTCTTGTTCTTAGGTGGTAATCGTGCGACGGCCTGCGAAATGGTTATTGGTGGAAGCTTGCCGAAGATGACGTCTGGACCGTCCGGGCTTCCGTGTTCCGGCGGAGGCGAAGGGGTAGGAGGACCATCTGTCTCATTTTGAAGTATGCCCTGGATGTCATGAATACTCTCGAGTATGGAAGCCCAATGGGTAGCGCCGACATAATTGTGTTCGCCGCCAAGTGTGGTGGGGAGAAGTGGGTTTCCAGATGTCGTCCCCAAGCTTGGTGGGGAGCTCAAATCGGAACGAGTCTCCGTAGTTTCTGTTCTCTGATCTGAGCTTGAGGGAGTATCAAGAGCAGGCTCACGGTTGCGCGCAGTATAGACTAGGCCATTGACCATTTCCTCAAGTTTCTGAAGACGAACCTGGAGGACGGGTCTCGACATAGGTTCATGTCTTGACCGGGTATCCACTTGCGGCCGCGCATCCGTGCGCGTCTTGCGAGAGGCACGAGGTGCATACTCGCAAAAGTTGGCCTCACCACTCTTGACACATCTCTCACAAGGCTGTTGACGGTCGCATTTTACCCTACAAGAAGAAATGAGCGGGGGATGGGAATTGGAATTGGAATGAGGTAGGATGAGATAGGATGCGATAGGATGGGGCGAGAGGCGAGATGAGACGAGACGAGATGTTGGGAATCGGATGGGCAGTCCAATACAACAAAAGAAAACGGGCGACTACTCACTTGCGTGTCCGACATAGCAGACATGAGACGGGAGGACGATTGCGCTTCTGAATCTTGCGTTGAAGTCCCTCAGTTGGTTGTGCGCGAAAGACACTTGTCTGGTAACTTCCGGGCCGAGAGTCCATCGTGGCCCGGTAAAGACTTATTAAAAGACGGGAGTCGAATGAGTCTCGGTCGGAAATAAGTATAACCTCATCTAAAAAACGCCTTAAGCCTTAAGCATCAAGCCGCAGTGACAAGTCGACAAGTCAAAATGAGAACAGGGGAATACTTCCCGTCTCAGCGCGCGCGCGACAGCGATGAGGACTTAAGAATATTCCTGATTGAGAAGAAGTCCGGTAGCACGAAGAAGGCCGAAAAGTGAAAAAGCATAAAAGCGTAAAAGACTAAAAGACCAAAAAAATAAAATATTATTATTACCGTACCTACAAAGGGTTCATCGAGCCAGGATATGGACGGATTGGATGGATTGGATACTAAGGTACGTGATATGGGATTGGCTAAAATGTCATTGTCATACCTAATTAACCTCTACCATCCTTGACCGTTGACTTTTTGGTTCTTAGCTTCTTAGCCTTCTTAGCTTCTTGGGTACATACTAGGTAGCTGGGGAGGTACTAAGGTTAGTTGGGTTCATGGCTGCGTGGGCAACTGCGTGGGTTTCTGGGTTCTTGCATTCTCTGGATTGTCGGAAACAATGCCATCCGCCTATCCGGGAGGGAGAAAAGACACCCTAACGCCCTAGGAAACTCCGTTGCGGGTTACGGCTTCCCACACACTATGCCATCCATCACACAATGTGCATTTGTCCTACCTAGTAGCTGTACACATGCATATAGCACTTGAGGTACATCAGACAATGGATAAACGTGCCGAACATGTGCGGGTAACAGTAGCTTCGACATGTACCTTTTACATCTTTTACACCCTATTACCAATAACACAATCCTTGGCATTGCCGATTGGGAACTTACCACCGACGGAGTTTCCTCGGCTGGATTTAAAGATAGGTCCTAAGATAGCTCCCTCCTTTCTAAAACCATAAATCCGTTCCCCTGCTTCAGGTGTCTAAGCTGTTTCTCCCTTTTCGACGTTCCTTTCGGGAGTTATTTTTAAACCTACGGCAATATCGACGGCCATACCTCCGGTCATAAACTGATTTGGAATTAGTCCTTCATACCTACATTACCTTCATATCCAATACAATGCCAATACACAGCTCTTCTATTAACAGATCGACTTACCCGAGCCGATCCCATCTTGACAATCATGCGGCTACTTAACCGATACTTAATCTGCCACTATAACGCGATCCATTATATCCGTACTTAGTATACTCGGTATACTCAGGACTCGGCTAGAGGTCCTTTTCATTACGTCGTAAATTGAAAGTGAAGTCATGACTAATAATCTTCCGTATGGGGTACCCTCTTACCTCCTGATCTTGGAAACCAGGATATAAATAATATCCAATACCAATTTCTAATATCCAATATCGTCAAAAAAAGGAGCATAATCAGTAATCGACTGCTTATCTAGCGCGGTTCAACGTTCTCGAAGTCCGCAGCTCTTCGATCATTCTGCCCCTATCGCTTACGGGACAGCGAAGAAACGGAACAATCTCACTTGCATCTTTACCCAATCCGGGAGAGATTCAGGTTGGGCTCTAATCTCCGGTCTCGATTCCTTGCCTATGTAGCACAACTTCTACGCCAGCTGTCTTCCCCTCCCCCCTCACCATGGATATTTTTTTCTTCGTAGCTTACTAGGGTGAAGACGCAAGCCCGAGATGAGAAGACCTAGGTCCGAAATATCGCGGTAGTTGAAAATCCAGCCCGGCAATATTCATTCCGACCATGGCTCTCCTTCTACACCCGGTTCCCCATTCCGAATTTACCGGTCCCCGGCATCTCCGGTAATAATACTATTGGCCCGGACTACTCCAACCGGTGCAGTGGTAGTTTTCGACGCAGAGAGCGTTAATGAATCGTACAAACGTCCCAACAACTTCTCGAAGCCAAGATTCATTCTGAAATTCGCTGCATAATTCGAGAAAATGCATTCGAGCGTAGGTCCGATGGCCACAGGGCTCTCTTAGGGGCAGCCCCTTACCACCGTAGCATTCAGGCTACGACCCCGAAAGCTACGGATTTGCCCCAGTGACACCACCGCATAACGTACCTGCACCTCTAAACCCGAGACATACACCTGAGGGTAGAGCGGCAAATGACAGGCTACTTATTTGTCATGCATATTATGTGCTGAAAGGAGGAAGGCGAATCATCTTCATTTATCATATTGGAACAACCACTGCATTTACACGGCGTACGGTTTGGCAGTATCAATCATATCACCACCATATCGAAACATCCCACGTCGAATGTTCCTTCTCGATTAAAGCGCCTAGGTTTCATCGGTCTCATTTCAATTCGCTCTTCATTACTTTTGGATTCTCACCGATTGCTCGTTTATCTAGCTCTCTACTGCCTCTTTCATTCCTATACCGCACTTTACCAACGACATAAAGCCTATGCCCGCTAATTGGACCGACCATAATGATGTGAGTCTAACTTTACTTTATAATGTAACGGCATTTCCAAAATTTCATCACTTTCAGGTGCGCCAAATCATCGTGGTTCATTAAACGCCTATCAACACTTGAGGCGACAGTTCACATGTGAAAGGACATTGCCAATTGGATTTCGAGGCTGTATTGAGTATCTACCTGGTACGTGGTAAGGAGAACTTAGGGACACCACTTTTACCCAGCATGCGGGGGTATCCACTGTCCATTATGAGGCTTCCGTTTCCAAAGATTCGCCTATGCAATCAGCAGCTTTGGGTTCTTGTTGGTGCGCTGCCTATGATAGGCTCCAACCACGGGAACATACAGAGGTAGTATTCGGTGTTTAGGACAACCAACTATACGACCTTGACATGTGAACTTCATATTGAAAATAGCTTGACAATTAAGGTGCAATTTTATTGGTGTCTTCCCTCGCCTCTCGCCACACCTGCGACTAACTTTCAAGATGCAGTAAAGGAGAAAACCAAAAAGAGAAAATAAAAAAGGAAAAAAGAACATATGGTCGAGCTCAGCAGGGATCGAACCTGCAATCTTTAGAGGACAGTACTGGAACCGAAATCTAACGCCTTACCATTAGGCCATGAACCCAGTGTGATGTTGTTGAAAAATTCTGAAGTTAGCTTAACCCTTATGGCTAGCGAGTGGATACCGGCTAGGAAGCTTGAGCCTCAACTCGAAAATTCTCCAAAGTGGGTTTGCTTGAACGAGTCATTCTTTAACGTATTTAATACTGCGTACTATGTACCTAGTAATAAAGACGCGTCGGTATAAGAAATTGTATTGAAAGAGAACTTGGTTTCATTCGATTATCTCGTGTCAAACTGGTATTTTTTCAACACGACAAATCTTTGCCTTCGCTTTCCACAAAGTAACAGCAATGAAGATGTAACGTCCCGTGGATACCGGACGGATAATCGATGAGAAAAAGAACGACAACGACACAACAAAACAACGAACAAACAACAAAGATTTGCACAGCGGAAAAAGTTGATTCGTCTTCAGTGGTGTCTCACACCCTAACCCAGGATGGGTTATCTATGCTAATCTTAGCCACCATCTTCCATACCTCCTTCCCGTCTTCCATCTAGGCAGGAGGTCCCGACAGAAGACCTAAATATTTGCTCCCTCCCAGCAAGAAAAAAACTAACGTCCTTGTATGTATTATTTCATGAGGTCCATGGTGTCTCTCTGAAGGGCTGCTTACAGAGGAAGAGCTTGAAGAAATCGGGACTTGTCGTAATCGTTGTCGTCGTTGTTGAAGTCTGGCCGGTGATGAACTTGCTGGATTATCCTCCTCTGTTGCTTAGGCATGGCTCCAGTCACCTCACTCCACTCATACTTTTCGCCGAATGGTTTCGCTGCGCCTGAATCGTTGGCCGCTTCGCGGTAGCAGTGTGATGAAGTGCGTCGACAAATTGGCAGAGAGAATGTTTCTGGTGATGTTGTTGCTGCTGCCGCCGCTATTGCTTGGTTGTTCCTCTGGTTTAGTATATCTAACACCGGGACAAGATGAAATAACGTCCCATAGCCGACCTCCCGTGCATGAGCAGCAGAAGACAGATGAAGAATTGTAACGTGCATGTATATAGCTGCCGCCTTCGCTTGAAGATGTCTTCATCGACATCTCGGTCTTGCTGTAGAAGATCTTCGGGTGCCATTAATAGTCATCCACCGGGGAGAACACTCGCTCTTCTTCTTCTTGTTGTTGTTGGTCTCGCTAGCTTCATCACCAGCTCTTCCACTGCCGGTGGGCTCTTATCCTCAAACTCGTCGAGCAGTTCTGCGGTATTTTGAGTGCCCATCTAATAACCCCAAACCACAAGACATACACCCTGGGCCATCTCTAAAACGAATTGATTGAAAGCTCGCCACGACTCCATCCTCTCGACGAAACCAAACCACTCGGTGTCTCAGGGTCCCCGGGGTAACTTGTAAGTTGGTGCCATTCATGTGCGACGCGCAACATGATCTCTTCAACACCTAGGCCAATCCTCAAGGCGAGTAGTACGTAAGAAGTCTCCGCTACCTTACGTCTCCACCGTACAGAAAATCTCTTCCATCAAACCGGTGACTCGGCTTTCTGAGGATTCATCGTGCGCGTCGTAACTCGCTCGATCCCATATATGGGGCGGCTCGGGGAAGGGAAAAGAGAAGGGGCATGAGAGTAGTAAGAGATGCGAGCCTTGCACTAGTAATAGTATCTAGAATCAATGGAGGAAAAGAAAGGTTTCCCTTATATCCACCCAATACCGCTCAGAAACTGGTGAGAACAAAGGTTGTTATCTTCACCGCCGAAGCCCGTCCACATCGTGGATTGTCAAAATAGTCCGAAATTGCATCTTCTCGGAAGCGCTTGAAGATAGTAGCGAGTGTTGTTAGATTCCAACCGATCATGGCTGAAATGTAGTGGCTGATACCGTCCAAACCAGAGCAATCACCGATGCTGCATCCCCGACACAAAGATCTCTCTGGCGTGTACATCGCTGCAATCTTCACAACATAACAAAAAACCCATTCACGAAGCTCCCCCTTGTACCCGACCCTATATAAACATCACCCGGTCGATGGATGATATATGAGCCTACCCCACATGGGGTGGACATGGTGCAGATACGGACCGGAACCCAGCCTCTGAGGCAGAGAGCTGAGTTAATTGATGATAAATGTCGAGGAAAAGATTAAAGGTTGCCAAGAGAAATGATAACAAAAGTGTAACCGTCCTATCAAGTTTAAAGAACTTAAGATCTCCTGTGTATACCAGGCATATTCAACACCTGAAGAGGTGAGAACTGATCCAAAAACTTGTCATGGAAAGAAATTGTCTGTTGGGGATATGCCGACTTATATACTTTTTCATTAGCTTAGCGTTTATATGAGCACGTTTATCTAGGCAGCCGTTTGCTATAAGGTATGGGAAGGCAAGTCTTGAGGGGATTGTACTGTTGAGAAGGATATAGACTTCGAGTCTGGGTGTTAATGACTGATCTAACGATACAATTTCCAAATATGAGCAGTTATATATCAGTATACTGTTAGTTCTGACTTTGCTCATCGATTAATAGGAAACTTAACTCATATACTGAGCTTGTTTCTGCCTATAAGTGAAGTTAATTATACGTCACCAATTAATTGAGAAACTAAAAGGGGGGAAATCCCAATTGAGAAAAGGGGCTAACTTGGAGCAAATAATTCAATTATCGACACTTACCTACTATCCGCCTGAGGCGTCCGATAAAAACAGGTAATAACTATAACGTTCCTGGTAGTATATCATTGACAATTAGAGTCATTTATTAGTCAACTATAATCAGCCCGAATTATGGTTGGTGCTGACTCACATTACGAGATAATATCCCATACCTATAGAAACATACATGCATAACACGGATGTATGTAAACGCTCTCACACACTTCCACACTTCCACACCGCTAATTGAAACCAGAAAAAAACGGGTATCTTTTAAAACCTAGATCTACCTATATCGTACCCTACCCATCTCTCTTTTCATTGACCCTCGTCTTCACATATAAGTGGCGATTATCGCTCGCTACCTAGTTAGTCTACATAAGCAGCGTGCCTGCGTGCATTCGTAAATCCATGTGAAGGCCGTCGTCATCTCGTGACTAGGACATTGTCCGCATATCCCAATTCCGGTAACCGGAGCGAGTGCCAATTGATTAATTGGCGTCGCAGAAGAGCCAGAGAACCCCAGATATGCGTGCCTCCTAAAAATCAAAAACAAAACTTTCCCAACCAATATCGCTATTTAGCTTCCAGAGCTACCTGTTATCTTTCTATGATATGTATCACGAAATTCCCTCTAGATAATAAAAATATCGCTCTCGCCTCTGTATCGTAGCGGCTTTCCGTGCTTGTTCTTGATCGTCCTCGTATTTCCTCGAAGGGGTCGCTAAGAGGAGGAATTGGATAACCAGAGCCAAGGTCGTCAATAACTAACGCTGAAACGCTCGTCGCTAATTATGCACGGAGTGTCTGGCCTTATGCTTGCGGGGGAAGCACACGCAAGGCAGGGGAAGCAAGAGGCGGGGGTTCTGTATCATGTAAAACGACAGCAACATCGAACTTGGGTATCATGGCCAATTCGCAAAACAGCAAAATCATGAAACAAATCCAACTTCTGTCCTGTCAGCTAATAGCGCCGCGCGTTACTCGGGCAGGATTGCCAGCTACGACGGTGAACGGTGGTACATCCTAATGTTTCTGTTAAAATCGTGCTCAAGTAGGGGATGGATTACTGTGTAGACAACACGGCTTACTTTAGTTACCACAGCTCCAGCGGCGACTGTCGCTCCTCTCCCAATTCTTACTCCGTAGAGAACTATAGCAGCGCCCCCAATCCATACGTCCTCGTCAATGAAAATGGCAGCACCGATGTGCGCGCTTTTGCTGCCCTTGCGCCTTTTGGGGTCCGTTTGTAACGTAGCACCAAAGAGACTGACGTTCGGTCCGATGTAACTGTTATCACCAATGACGACCTCCATGGGATCAATAATGGTACAATTCCGGCCTATGAACACGTTGTTCCCAATCATAATGTTGTATCCATAATCGCAGGTGAATGGTGCCTCAACAACCACTTCTTGCCCGACGCCCCCAGCGCGAGTAATAGCTGTCGCGTTTCGATCCATAAATATTGGTCTCGTTGGTTTGAGGATTTCTCGGAATAGACGCGAACGCTCGGATGCTGATACATCGACATTGGGATCCGTGGAGTTGTTGAACCTGATGCACGCAGCACTACATCTCTGCCTCTCGAGTACCAGCTCCTCGTCAAAGGGGTAGTACAGATTTCCTGACAGCATTTCCTCCTTCTGTGTTCGTTCCCGGCCAGGAGGGTAATGAGAATGTGATAAAGCGAGTTGTGCGGTTTCCTGAGGGTTAGTTACCGTTGTCGTAGGTGGCGGAGGCGGAGGAGGGGGTGGCAGCGCAGATTGGGGTGGTGGACTACTGCTCCGAGTTGGCGGGAGAACGTTAATCTGCGGAAGCGAGCTCGAAAGCGGAGTTTCATGTTCGGTCCTCGTAAGGTCATGTAATGGCGGTACTCTCTGATAATCTTTGTGGCGATCGACACTGCTTAACGGCGTTGGTAATTGTATGGTAGAACTCGTAGCACTAATTGGCGTCGGGAACATGTTTGTCGAATTAGTATATGATATTGATGACAGTTTATTGTTCTCTGGGCTCGAAGCAGATGGAGTCGGGGTAGGAAGGGTCGCGGAGGTCGCCTGTCGGCCGTCGTCTGGTAGAATTGGCCGGCCCTGTACCGGCTCTATCCGGAGCGGCTGGCCACGGTAGGCCTGGGAAGGCTGATCACGTTTGGGAGGCGGCGGGGGCGGTATCGGATAACTACTTTGTGGCATTCCGTAGGCTCCGGGAGGGACGTAGCTGGGATCCTTAGATTCGAGTGGGACGGCGGCAGGTTTATTCTCCATCTTCGGATAACCTCGTTGATTAGGATATCCATGGCATACAAATCCACCTCGAACGCAATTGGTACCTATTTTATCCGTGAGTAAATGAAGCCTTAACAATCACGCCTAAACGAGGCTCACATTGCGGTTTCGTC